ACTAATAATATATAATTGTTTAGTTGTTATTTGCTGTATTAAAAAACTAAACAAAAAAGTGGAAGTGCGTGGAATGGAACCTCGTACCTCTCACATACAAAGTGATCCATCGACCATATGAGTTGTACTCCTTTTTGTTGAAGGTTAGTACAATTATTAGTTAATATTTATTTATTATTTACTTTGTTAAAAAATTAAAAGGAATGCCGTTGAAGGGAATCGAACCCGTACATCTCGAATGCAAAAGTGAACGTCCTTCCCTATGATCTGCACGCCTTCTCATTGGTTATTGGTACAATAACATATGTATAACATAAATCTTCATCAATCTTTTTTCTCGACAGATCCAGCACTGGCAGTTGCATCTGCTTGTCGGGTGCTGGATCCGTCCCTGTGTCAGGGTGTACTTCGAAAAGTAATCGGAGGCCTTGTTGGACTGATTTACACTTCCATGCATATTTTCCAAGTATAATTTCGAGCAGGTTTCTAGTATGAAACCTAACCTTTTAGCTAGTTTTTTGAGTTTTTTCAGAAAAGATAATTATGATACTCTATTTATTTTATTTATAAATGCAATAAAGGTGCGTAAGTTCCAACAATTTGTTTTTCCAGGTCTTTCGGTTTTGTAGATCAAAGTGCCACAAAAACTTCAAGATGAAGAGGAACCCTCGCAAAGTGAAGTGGACCAAGGCTTACAGACGGGTGCATGGGAAGGACATGACTCAGGTAATTGCAAGCAGCTTTATTCTGATGGTTTCCTATCCTCATTTGTTTCAAGCCCACATTTATTCTGGTTGTCATTTGCTCTTTTGTTGTTATATTGCAAAGGATTCAACATTTGAATTTGAGAGGAAACGAAATAGACCAGAGAGATATGACAGGAATGTGGCAGAGGAGACTCTCAAGGCCATTAAGAAAATTGATAAAGTCAGAGTTGACAGGGATGCCCGACACCATGCAAAGAGGTTCCTTCTTTTCTGCTGTGTCTTGATAGAGCATGTTTGGCTAAGCTTAAAAAAATGAAAATAAAAATAAAAGTTCCTATAAATAACTTTTTGTTTCCGCTTATTTGGATATATTAAGATTTCTCTTAATTTCTAGTAAAAGGATTTTCTTATTTCAAGAATCATTCTATCTTACTATCCACATGAGAAACTTATTTCCAACTTGAATCAAATAATTTTTATTTGCATTCCGTTTTACATTCACTGACAACATCGGAAATGGACAGGATGAAGGGAAAGAAGGCCCAGGTGGCGAAAGAAGCTGCAAAGGAACTGGAACAGAGCATTCACATGGTCAAAGCTCCTGCTGCTCTCCAAAAAGAGCCCTACCTCACATTGCCAAAGGTTTCCCAGAAGCAAACAGAGGACATTATGGTAGACTAGTTGCATTGCCATTGCGCGGCTCTTTTGCTCTTGTTTTTACTCTTTTTTTGGTATGGAACTTCTCTTGACTAAAAGGAAAGATTTTTATTCATTGTGAAAAACTTATTTGGACATGCATCGAAATTTTGATCTAGCTGTTTTGTACTTTCTGATTTGATCTCTTATGTATTGTACTGGTGCAGATTTGTTTAGGAATGAGCATGTTTGGCTAAGCTTAAAAAATTACGAGTACAAGATAAGTCTTGAAGTATTATTTTGATTGATCAAAATTAAAAATAACCAAGTAGTTATGTACAGAATTTTTGACTTATTTAAAATAAGTTGATTAGTAAGAAAAAAGTTCAGAAATGTTTCCCTTATTTTTATGCTTAGCCAAACAAGCCCTGTACAACCCCTCTTCCTCGACTTGTCTCGTCCCCTGGCGCACAATCATCGCACGAACCTTGCCCCGCAGCCCCGTAGCGCACATGCATTGTTTGCGCACGAACCTTGCCCCGCAGCCCCGTAGCGCGCATGCATTGTTTGCTTTGATTTGTCGTAAAATGGAGTCAGTTCAACTATCTCACTCAAATAGGTTTGGCCATATCAACACCACCAAGCAACAAACTAAGGTATTTTCGATAAGTTTTGTGCAGGCTAAGCTACACGCAATTTATGAAAATTAACTTTAAATTCATTTCACTTTAGTACAAAAGAGTTAAAAAGGAAATGGGATTGCAAGGAAAAATGGGCCAACTTGTATCCCCAGAGCAAATATGGAAGAATTCCACATGATTCATAGGTTTTCCAAGACAATCCACATTTGGGAGTTGTTGATTCCATCATCTTCCTCGAGTTCAATGGAACTACTCAATCTTCATTCTCTCCTTATACTCCACCATTTCCTTGTGGTACCTCTCCTTGTCCTTTAAACCATGGTTTTGGTAAACCTAATAATATGAAACATCCTCAAAATTAGAGAAATTCAAAGTTTTTAATGCATATACTTTTCAGCCTATGTTCGGAAAGATACTACTGACTATATTATAGACAAAATTTTCACTTTTCGTGTTTTGTCTAGCAATTTATAGTCTACCTTACCATACAAATTGAAATGTGGATGAGAATTTAGATTAATGTACTTACTATTCTCTCTTCGGGAGTGAGCTTGTTCCATGATTCTGCGATCATTTTTGTGAACTCCCTCTCCCTATTTGGATAGAGAGATTTAAGAATGGAATGCTTTTCTGCAAAGAAGAAGTTATAGCCACTCCGATTAGGCTTTGGCCTGCCGGAATCTCCTCCCCGCCTCCTCCTCCGCCTCCTCTGCCTCCCCTTTCCATGCTCATCATGAAGCTGCGTTGCTACTGTTACAGTATTGCGATGCTGCATGGATGTTGAAGAGGAGCCTGGATGGTAAAGCACACCATTGAGAATTTCTTCACCATGTTTTACAGATATCAAGTACCCGCAGTCGAATTTTCCCTCAATTGTTCCAATGGCTTGGAAGGTGGAATGCCCTAAGAAACAAAATGTAGGAATATTATGCTCAAATTAGATTTACAAAGAATTCACCATCAAAACTAATCAATTTGAAATAACTGCACATAGATTTCATAGATAACTTTGTCGTCAAACAAAATCGTTTTTAATCCTGCTGGTAAAAATGGTTGAAAAACAAGTGATTATATACCTGATGGATCAATAACGGGACGTTGATGTCTGAAAAAATAAGCTTGTTCATAACCGAAAAGCAAAGTGAAATAATGTTTCCTCAAAGCATAAGAGGCACTAGTAGTTGTTGGAGAGAAGTCAAAGAAGACACTGATTTCCCTCCATTTCTTGTCTGTCACAACCTTTCTCAAGAAAAAAATGGAGCGAAAATAAATAAATTAAATAGGAAAAAAAAAATGTGTGACTTTTAAGAAACAAAAAAATTTATGATCACCAACCTGGTCGTAACCACCCCTCTTCGTAACCTCAATATATAACACATGCAGATTCAAATCCTTCCCTCCAATCACAGGAATCCTTACATCAAAATCAACAAACCATATAAACATTAAAGTTGCAGCAAAATGGCAACAAAATATTGTATAGTGAATCACGTTGCATGTTTGGTAATATAGAGTTACAGAAAAACTCTATAGCGCTCGATGGTACAAATAATGAAAAAAACTTAAAATTTTATTTACTGAACCATCTCTAATTTCGAATACCAAACACTACAACAAGGCCATTTCTGTCCACCGCCCTTCCCTCGGTTTGGGTGGCATAGCCCGTTGCAGAAGTCCCCGCCATTAAAGATATATACATGGTTAAAGAAGAAGAAAAATGGCTGAAGCCTATACGTACATAAATTTTGTACCCATAGCATAATGGAAGGTCCGGAGGGTGCTTGAAAAGAGAGTTGGATCCTTGACAACATCTTCATGGGTGGCCAATGGCACCGAAAAAGGGTCTCCCTTTACGCCATTTCCAGCGGGTACAATCTCCTTCAAAGACATGAACACGTCTGAAAATTCAACAGAAAATCAAGAAGTGAAAAAAGAAAAGAAAATGAGCAGAAACAGAAGTGAGAAATTGCAAGAACTGTAGCTCTGTAAATAAAGAGAAAATGGTCCAAAGTGTGTAATTAAGGAGCCTTAACTCTTACCAAAATCTGAGCTTAATTGGGACGCGTGTGAGGTTATGTATGCTGCGGTTATGCAAACGTTTGGCATCTTGTTACCAACCAAACTAACCCTCTTCAAGTCTCTCAGTCTCTGTGCCTCTCTCTCTCTCTCTCTCTCATTTGAATGGCTAAGGATAATTAATTTGCACAGGTGAAATTACTCCACCCCCACACCACCCTGGGGCGGGGGCGGGGAGTGTTCTAAGTGTAGTTAATTAAAAGGCTGTCATTAGCTACAAGCTATATCTGCTGGGATTCTTTTTAGATACGTAGGTTGATACGAAGTTGAACCAGTTTGAGAAGTAATAGCAATCTGATTTGTTCATCATATCTCTTCGTACAACTTTTGGTCGATATATTCTGCAGGTTTTTCTGGAGGTCTGGGGCATGTTATAACCTAGCTAGCTGCATATGTGATTCCTAGTTTCCTCACTGGCAGACTACTTTGCGTCTTTGCCCTATCTCCCATATTGTGTTTCGTACCATCTGTCTGACTCGAAATTTCATCTTAAAATGTCATTTTTGTTAAGAATAGTACTTCAATTCCTTATATATTGCTCTATATTTTAATATTTAATCAATATAAATTATAATTTAGATGTTTATGCAAGATGGTAACTCGTTTGAACAAACCAATTTAAAAATATATGTGCTCATTTTTTATTCTTAATCAAATCGAATTACTTGTTGAAATTTCATAAGCTCTGATACCAAAACTTGATGCTCAATCTTAAAAGATTCCTACCATTGCCATTGATCTAAAAAGAGCATTCTAGTCTTCAACCTATTAAAAGGAGCATTTTCATCTCCATCCTTTTAGACTGAACCGTATGAAAAGAACTAATAAAAAAATAAAATTTGTATTGGATACAACTAGGGGTGACAATAGGTCGAGCCAACAAATCGAGCCCTCGACTCATGTTCAATGCTTGGCCTTTGACTTGTGGGCTTCACGAATTGTGCCCAATTGAGTCGCACTCGAGTTGGTTCTTTTTTAAAAAATAACATAAAAAATTAATAAAACAAGTCCAAAAAATAAGAAAAAACATGTCGGCTCGATGGCTCGTGCTAGAGNNNGTCGGCTCGATGGCTCGTGCTAGAGCTACCTTTGGACCGAGGCGAGTGAGGACAAATAAATTAGTATGTTATGATTTTTCAAGATGGTTTTTGGTTTTCCATGCATATGTTTCGTATTTTCATGTTTTAAAAATGTTTATTGAAGGAGGATTAAGCCTTGATATCCTATTCATATTGTAAGATGCTTTTGAAATTAAAATTGTGAATTTTTATTCTTTTTTAGTTTGGTAATACTTTAACAGCCTTCAATGAATGAATTAGTTATGTTATCAGTTATGTCACAAGAAAGATTAAATGGATTAGCTGTGTTATCAATTGAGGAAAAAAATGATTGAATGGCTAGATTATTCAAATTTGATCAATCTTTCTCTCTCTAGGCAAATAATATTTAAATGATCGTTGGGAACATTGTGGGCTGTTATTTGATTATAATATAATTTTTTAGTATAATACATTTTGTTTGTTGTTTTATCGTTAAGTTTTAAGTTAACAATTCGTTCCATAATTTACTTAGAGTGTGTTTTATTGCCAATATTTTTTGTGGAAAATGTGTTTTTTCAACCTAATTTCCTACTTTTGTGCTGTTTGATTGACAATTTTTTGAACGAAATTTTTTTTACTAATTTTGATCACGTAAATATTTTTCTTGAAAACGGATAAAATATTTTGTAAAAGGAGCGGTGAATTTTATTTTCCATGTAATTCATTCTCTCGTTTTCTCTTATCTATTCATTCTTTCTCATTTACATATCAATAAAAAATGAACAAGTATAATATTTTTTAAGTTGAAAACTAAATCAATCAAACATGTTTAATTAATAATTTCCATACAAATAAGTTCTAGTCATGCCTAGAATTTATTTTCTTTCTATATAAATTTCATACTCGTAATCAAGTGCATCCTTATAGATTTTGCATGCATACTACAATTTTGGAGACCTAATTTATAAAGTTCGCCTTAGGCCTCGAAAATCAAAAGACGGGTACTGGCTCGTGCCCACGAACTCAAACAAGCTGGCCTGTGAGCTTCATGAGTTGAGCGAATTTAGCTCATCAAAAAAATATGAGCTCGACTCAATCCATCAATCGTCTCAAAATATGCTCGTGCCATCTATGGATCGAGCCGAGACAAGCTGAGTCCACGAATTGCTTGGTCAGGTTGCCACTCTTAGGTATAGCACACTTCAATTTCAAGTCCTCTTGAGCTCCACATAAGTTAAACTCCCAATAATTTATCCACATTCCACCCTACACCTATATAGATGTCAATTAATCGAGAGAGTGATGGTAACTTTGATCCAGAAAAAATTATTCGAGACTTGTACTTCTAAATTAATTGCATAATGAATAGAAACAATTCACTAATAATTGTTATGAATTCGAAAGGATGGAATTTCCTTAATCTATTTCTGGTGGTAACAAGGGAAATATAGAAAGAGTGGAGCTAAATCTTCGCTATAGCAAATTAATGGACAATGTTAAGAGTACCATTAGGGGTTTCACAATTTTCACTAACATTCTTCTCCTATAGATCTTCCTTCCGTTTGAACAAATTCACATATAATCAACAATTATTATACCTATTCACTTTTATAAACCCAGAAAGAACACCGTGCAATTCGTTCACTTACAATACTCAGTCTCTTATTTCTGCTATAAATTCCTGTTCTTCAGAATCATCTTGCAAAACTTTTCATGCCCGTATATTGAAGTCCTTGAATTACGAAAATGGGTTCATTGGTGACCGTTTGGTTTATATGTATACGAAACTGGGGTTCTTTGAGTGTGCATGGAATTTGTTTGATGAAATGCCAAAGAAGGATTTGGTTTCCTGGAATTCTTTGATTTCTGGTTTTTCGCGGAAAGGAGAATTGAATTATTGCTTAAATTCATTCCATAGAATGAGATTTG